CAGAGTGGCTGCCTGTGGGCAGGTGGCGTGCGGCTGCTTTGGGTACAAGGAGCAGCTGGAGATTCTGCTGTGACACCAACACCAGGAGAGCCCCCTGCTTACCCCAGGGCCAAAGCCCACCCCCCATCTCCTCCCGGTGGGGTGGGGATGTTCTGTAGCAGGAGAGTGAGTCTCGTCCATGGTCCCACCCGACAGGCTGCTGTCACACAATGAATATTTGCTGGTGTCTCTGATTCTGTTCCCAAACACAGTCCAGTCCCGGCTGCCCCTCCAGGTCTCACTGATTTTCTCTTCTGTTGTTAGTTTCTAGAACCCGAATAGAAGCTCCAAGGGATGGTGCATGATGCCAGCCGACAATCACAGCATTTTAGGCCCTGCCACCTTCATCCTGACTGGCATCCCCGGTACGGAGGAGTCTCAAGTCTGGACTGCCGTCCCCTTCTGTCTGATGTACGTTGCGGCGCTTCTGGGGAACTCTCTCCTCCTGTTCATCATAGCGACAGAGCGAAGCCTCCATGAGCCCATGTACCTTTTCCTCTCCATGCTGGCCACTGCTGATCTGCTGTTGTCAACGAGTACAGTGCCCAAGATGCTGGCCGTGTTCTGGTTCAGAGCAGGGGAAATTTCTTTTGCTGCCTGCCTCACCCAGATGTTCTTCATGCATGTCAGTCTTACCGCCGAGTCGGGCATCCTGGTGGCCATGGCGTTTGATCGGTACATTGCCATCTGCAACCCCCTGAGATACACCACCCTGCTCACCAAGCCTGTGATCGGGAAGATCGGGCTGGCGGTTCTCACAAGGAGCGTCGGCGTCTTTTTTCCTTACGTCTTTCTCCTGAAACGGCTGAAATTTTGCACAACCAACCTCCTGCCTCACACCTACTGCCAGGAATGGGCCATCGCCCGGCTGGCCTGTGACGATGTCACAGTCAATTTCTGGTATGGTGTAGCTGTGGCTATTTTAGCAATTGGCTTGGATGCTGTGCTCATTTCTGTGTCTTACATGCTGATCCTCCAGGCCGTCTTCCGACTGCCCGTTAAGGACGCCCGGCTCAGGGCTCTGCACACCTGTAGCTCCCACGTCTGTGTCATCCTGATATTCTACATCTCATCTTTGTTCTCCTATTTTGCACACGAATTTGGGCACATTGTCCCCGGTTCTATTCTCAATCTTCTGGCCAACAGCCATGTGCTCGTTCCCCCCATGCTAAACCCTGTCATTTATGGGGTGACCACAAACAAGATCCTGAAATGTTTAATCAAGGTGTTTAATCCGTGGTGCAGCAAAAGCTTCCTGCAGAGCTAAAGGAAGCAACAGAACATTAAAGCCAAGTTTTCATTTGAACTGTATTATATCTAGTGATAGAAATGTAGCCGTGTTAGTCTGGGGTAGCTGAAGCAAAATGCAGGACAATGTAGCACTTTAAAGACTAACAAGATGGTTTATTAGGTGATGAGCTTTCGTGAGCCAGACCCACTTCCTCAGATCAAATAATGGAAGAAAACAGTCACAACCATATATACCAATATCTACTATATCTAGTATTATATCTACTCACTGTGGACTCCCAGGCCGTGTCCAGACTCAGGGGTTTTTTCGGGAAAAGTAGCCTTTTCCCGAAAAAACTTCCCCTGCGTCCAGACTCAAGCCGCGTTCTTTCGAAATTATTTCGAAAGAACGCGGCTTTTCTTTCGATGGCGGTAAACCTTAATTTACGAGGAAGAACGCCTTCTTTCGAAAGTTCCTCTTTCGAAAGAAGGCGTTCTTCAATGTAAAGAGGCCGTCTTCGAAAGAGAGCATCCAGACTCGCTGGGTGCTCTCTTTCGAAAAAGCGGATTTCTCTTTCGAAAGATCCGCCTGCAGTCTAGACGCGATCTTTCGAAAGAGGTTCTTTCGAAAAATGCTTTCGAAAGAGCCTCTTTCGAAAGAAGCCTGCAGTCTAGACATAGCCCCACTGTGTTAGCCTGAACAGCAAATGGTGCAGTAACAGGTGTTTCCTCAGCCACCCTCTCTCACTTACATCCTACGGCTGAAATAGCTTCACCAACAATTTGCATTTCCACACAAGTCAGCCAGACCAAAGGATTCTTGTTCTAAGTTGAAGGGCGGGAGGGGGAAATAAAGGAAGAAAAAGGAGAGACAAAAATCTCCACGAGAGAGAGCACGGTGTGCACACCTCCTCTCTGAGACGCTGCATTGGAGCTGAAACCAAAAAGACAACAAAAAGCAGCAACAAAAGTCGCCAGGTATTGAGCCAATGGGAGGTGCACTTGACTGCAGTGTGGGAGAGAGGGATCCGGGTTCAGCTTTTGTCACAGACTCGCCGTGTCCTTTGGGGGAGTTCCTTTCCTGCTCAGTTCCCTCAGGGCGGCTGTGTCTACACTGGGCCACTTATTCCGGAAAAGCAGACGCTTTTCCGGAATAATCTGCGAGCTGTCTACATTGGACCCTTGAATTTCCGGAAAAGCACTGACGATCTACTGTAAAATTGTCAGTGTTTTTCCGGAAAAACTATGCTGCTCCCGCTCGGGCAAAAGTCCTTTTCCAGAAAAACTGTTCCGGAAAAGGGGCAGTGTAGACAGCCCAGTAGTCTTTTCTGGAAAAAAGCCCCGATAGCGAAAATGACGATCGGGGCTTTTTTCCAGAAAAGCACGTCTACATTGGCCACGGACGCTTTTCCGGAAAAAGGGCTTTTCCGGAAAAGCATCCTGCCAATGTAGACGCTCTTTTTCTGGAAATACTTATAACGGAAAACGGTTCTAAGCATTTCCGGAAAAGGGTGCCAGTGTAGACGTAGCCGGCATGTCTGCACGCCAGAGGGATTTTTTGAAAAACTTCACTTATCGGCCACACTGCCATCGCACTCTTTTGAAAAATAATCGAAAGAACAGAGGGGTTTTTTCCGACATTGGTAAGCCTCCTTCTACGAGGAAGAAGCCTTTTTCCAAAAGAGCTCTTTCGGACGTGTGTGGACGGAGAAGAGGGAGTTCTTTCACAAGAAGAGGAAAGAGGGAAAAGCACAGGTGCCCTGGCGGCCACTCCGTCCATAGTAATCACAGCGGACATGCGAGAGAGCGTCCATTCAGTCGGAGCACTATCTGTCGAAAAAACAGATCTCTTTTTTGATGTGCTTCGGCAGTGTGGATGCTCTCTTTCGGAATAAGATTTTTCAGAAGATCTCTTCTGAAAAAAGTTTCTTCTGAAAGAAGCCTGCACTCCTCAGGAGACAGCGCTATAAGAAGGGGTGGCTTTGTCTGTGCCATCACAGGCCTCCTGGAGCTGGAGACTCTCCACAGGTAGATGTAGCTGGGGCAACCCAGCTCCCCCCCGCCAACAAACCCAGAGATTCACGGACATTAATGTCATTCATTTGAGCTGAATGACACAGGCTCTGGAGTGTCACCCCCTGTGCTGAGCCCAGTCCCTGTGTGTGGCCAAAGCACCTGCCACCGAGCTGTGGAAACTCCTAAATCCTTCCGGTGCCTGGTCGGGCTCAGCCCCCTGCTCCGTAGCCCTGGCCTGTGGCCCCTGGTCGCTGCCGGTGGCTGCCTTAGGGCTCCTGTGGCAGGGCTGGGCCCGGCTGAGCCAGGCTGCTCTCGCTCTCTGCCCCACACAGGTAGCTCCCTGGGGGTGCTGGGATGGGGGAGAGTTCAGGGGGGCTGTGGCCTGTGGCGGCAGGGGAGGGGCTCACTGGCCCATGCTCTCGGCTCCCCCCGACAGTGGGAGAGGGGGAGGAGCAGCGTCTCTGGGCGAGAGCCACGTTTGTGCTGCGCCAGAGGGATGTTTCACCAGTGAGGGGAACGGGCTGATTCCTGTAGGGCCTTGGAGGTTCGTTTCACCGTTCATTTTTCCCTTTTATCCGCACTCCCGACCCTGCCCCTGGGGAGACGAAATGTCCCAGGAGCACCGAGAACGGGCTGAGCTGGGTCAGACCAATGGTTCATCTCATCCCAGCTCCTGTCTCCAGCAGCAGCCTGTGCCACAGATACAGGGGAGTGAACAGAACAGGGCAGCTGTGGGGTGATCCATCCCCTCCCCTCCCCTCCTGGCTTCTGGCATTCAGGGTTTGGGGGGATACTGAGAACATGAGGCTGGATCACCTGATGGACCTTGTCATGGATGGGAGCGGTACTTCCCTGTCTGGACATCGCAGCCGTTCAGCCAACTCAATTGCCGCTAAGGGTTAAACTGCAGGCAGTGGATCTTAGAGCATCTCCCTGAATGTTTAGGAAGCAGGGAATGCAGGAGCCAGGACAGCCAATGGAAGCAGAGTGTGAGTTTCCGAATGGGAAGCAGAGGCCTTCCTGCTGCAGGCCGTGTGTGGCCAGAGCAGGGCTGGAGGTCATGAATTAAGCCAGGAACAAGGCTGGAAATATCCAGCAATATCCATGCCCAAGGAAGAACTAACCCTTGGAACAACAGAGATGTGAGTAGAACAGGGAATGTTTAGCCAGGTGCAATCAGGTTATTTTCTTTATATTTGGGTTTGTGGAATTTCTCTGTGCTGAGCCCATGTGACTCCCAGCTCTTATCCCCTGTACACTGTAACTTTTAATCTGAATCCCAGGGAAGCAATTTCCTGTGTTTTTAATTGTTCTTTTTTGAGTTGCCCTGTAACACCGAGCAGCCAAGTAATGCTTTACCAAGTACGTCTTCTTTGTTTTCTTAATAAAATTCATATTTTTAAGACCATGATTTGATTCCTGTGCCCTAGAAGGCAGGAGCTTCTGTGTGCACATGCCAAACATTGCACAGTCTGTTATTAAGAAGTTACAGGTTTTTTAAGCTCTCTCCAGAGGGAGAGTTAAAGGGCTTGTGGGTACTCCACAGGAATCCCCTAATATGTTTTCTGGGCTCCCAAAGGGGTTTTTGCAATTGGGTAGTGGCAGCGACACCAGTTCAAGATCAAGGATACGTGATCTTGGAGAGCTTTTAAACAGAAGCCTGTAGTGACAGGGTGTTTTAAAGTCTTCATCAGACCCCACCTTGTGCACTTAAAATGTCAGAGCAGGGGACAGCATACACAGACCTATTCTCCATCATCTTACCTACTTCTTTTTTCATCCCAGTTATCCATTTCTCGAGTTCTTTTTATAACCTAGTTGGATTTGTGTCCATCACAATATCCCCTGGCAATGAGTTCCACAGGTTAGCGGTGTGTTGCATGAAAACCACCTGCATCCTCTTTTTTATACTAAATAAGCTGCCCAATAATTACCTCATGCAACCCCAGGTTTTGTGTTGGATCAAAAAGGGAATCACATTTGGCTATCCGTTTTCTCACACCATTCATGATTGTATAACCCAGAGGCATAGAGACCACTTAAAAAGGGAGAATGAGGTCTGCTCTGCAGCTTTAGCTAAAAGGCAGTCGGCCCCAGGTTCAAACACACCTGCTGACGACAAGGCTCTGTCGGCTCTACAATTCACAGATCTCTATTAGATTCTGCCTCAGCTATTTCTCTCCTAACCTGAACAGTGGGAATCTTTGAAGTCTCTCCTCATACAGAAGCCGTTCCACACCCTTCATCATCTTTGTTGCCCTTCTCTGAACCTTTCCCAGTTACAATATATGATTTTAGGGATGGAACAACCAGCCCGGGACCCAGTATTCCCAGTGGAAAAGTACCAAGGCTTTCTGGAGTAATGTAGGACATATTCTATCCATTTCAGAAATGATGTGAAGAATCTATTCGTTGTTAGAAAAGAACAGGTTACCCAGAGATGGATGGGGTAAAAGGGCACCTTTATTGCAGCTACTCGTTCTGCCTCAGACCTGCCCAGCCTGGGAAGTGAGCGAGCAACAATTCACCTCAGGTACACCTTTTGATCCTGATTAGTATGTAAATTTACTTACCAATTACATCACCCTTTAAGCCCTAATTTAGTAATGGGAACACCCATATAATGCAGAACCCTAACCGCCCCTGTTAACAGTTAACAGCGTTTTAGTTGATGTCGGCAGTTCTCACATCACACACTCCTCACATCAGTGATAGAAATGTAGCCGTGTTAGTCTGGGGTAGCTGAAGCAAAATGCAGGACAATGTAGCACTTTAAAGACTAACAAGATGGTTTATTAGATGATGAGCTTTCGTGGGCCAGACCCACTTCCTCAGATCAAATAGCCACTTACAAGAGGGACAGGAGCAGTGACCCGGACTGGTTATTTCAGGGCGAATGGGGATGGATAAGGGAGTAAAGACGATTGCGCTGATAGCACACAGAGCATTCATGAAAAGTTGCCTCTATCCTGAGCAAAGCCAACAGAAGCAGGATGCTGTGCCCAATCACCATCGTTGCAA